CAAAATTTGCTACTGGAATTTCCTGGTAGCAAAAAACCAAAAACCTGAAATAAAAGCAGTGCAAACCATGCCAAAGTGGTGTGCACTGGGACAAACGCAGAGACAGGCGAGCAGGCCGCCCTGGGCAGCCTGCTCCCCCATCTCTGCGTGCTGCAGAGCCCCTGCACTGAGGCACCCTGTGCCCCAGCCAACCTCCCCCCAGCCGGCTGGGGCACAGAGTGCCTCCAAACAGGGGAGCGGGCTGCCTGCTCCCATCTCCTTATGCCTCAGTGCAGGGGCTCCACTGTGCAGCCCCAGGAAGCTGCAGAGCAGCTGGCTGGGGCGCAGTGTGCCTGGAGACAGGGAAGCAGCCAGTCCAGGGCCAGCTGCTCCCCCATCTCGAGGCACACTGTGCCCAAGCCAGCCAGGGAGCAGCTGGCTGGGGTGCAGAGTGCCTCAGCATGGGGGCTCTACAGCGCATGGAGACAGGGGAGCAGGCAGCCCTGGCCTGCCTGCTCCTCCATCTGCACATGTTACTCCCCAGTTGGCCGGGGCACACGGTGCCTCAGTGCAGAGGCTGCTTGCCAGCTAACCTCAAGCTGAGGCACCCTGCGTGCTCCAGCCAGCCCTCCCCTTCCCCCCACTCCTCCCCAGCAGCACACTAGCAGTAGAGCCCCCATGCTGAGACACATGGAGACAAGGCAGCAGGCAGCCCTGGGCTGGCTGCTCCCATCTCGAGGCACACTGCACCCCAGCCAGCCCCTCCACAGCTGCCTGGGGCCCAGTGTACATCAGTGCAGGGGCTAGTTAGCCTCTGCTGAGGCACCCAGTGCCCCAGTCAGCACCCCCGTGCAGCACATGGAGCAGCAGGACAATGTATCCTACTGCAAAGCACACAGGCAGGAGAGAGCGCTGCGGCACAAAATAGTGGCAAAAATATGTGCCGCTACTATTTGGCACGCTGCAAAGGCATGCCTCTGCTCGCATGGACTCGGCCACGGATTTCAAATAGGAATCCACGGCACTTTAACATGCTCCCCTGCTGTGATCTTTCTGAGTTCTTTGCAACAGAGTTGCTCTAGTATTACTCTGTAGTCACAAGATGAGTGAAAATGATGAGCTGGCATTTTCCAAGGGCTGCCTCGAGTCTATTGAGGGATGCCTTGAGTCTAAAAAGTTGAGAACCACTGTTCTAGACCAGAGGTTCCCAACACCTGGGCTGCAAAGGGTTGGTTGCCGGTCTGCAGGAGGGTTGGCTGCTGGATCGGAAGTCAGGAAATGACCGGCATACTGCAGACTGGCAGCCACTCTATTTTTATCCCGAGTAGAAGGAAGGGTTGGCTGCCTGCCTACAGTATGCCAGTCACTGCTGGTCCGCGGTCACTTTCGGTCTGCAGTTTGCCAGTGTGCAGCATAAAAAGTTTGGGAAACCCTGTTCTAAACCTTAAGACCTGCCATCCACCCCATTTTCCATGTGTCATTGTAAGTAAAAATGAGCAAGCATTCTTAATCCCCCACAGAAATACCATTTCTTCCATATCTTGCCCCCCCAAAATGTCAGGCACTTAAATACAGATTTTCCAAAGGGTCTAAGGGCACATCTGCATTAGATGTTTATTGTGCAGCAGACTAATTAGCCATGCAGTAAACATCTTGTTTTCTACATGTGCACCCCTATTAGGCTGGAGTTAACTAATTCACTCTGCAGCAACACAGTACTTATAAATACAAGTACTATCCTGCTGCAGAGTGAAAAACTCTGCAGCAGTACATGTAAAGACGCTGCCCTGGCTGGCTGGGGCATGAGGGTGCTTCAGTGTGGGGGCTGCCTGATGCCTAGCCCTGCACTGAAGCACCCTCAGGCAGCCAGCCCCTCCACAGCACACCAAGCCAGGGAGAACAGCTCCCCTGCCTGCTGGGGCTGCTCAGACCCAGCTCAACATGCTGCGATCCTGGGCACATGTGCAAATGGTCTTCCCAGAGCAATAAACTCCAGTGCAATAAGCACACCAGGGTTTCTTACAGTGCATTAATATGCACGTGTAGACATGCCCTAAGGGCCTGTTCCAACCCCCATTAAATTCAGTAGGAATTAACCACCCTACTCCTTTTGAGAATCCCAGTCTCAATGCTTATCTGCACTGATATTTTAGTGTGGAGGTCTAGACACTCCATTTTTGTTTCTCCCCAAGATGTTACAATGACACTATGTCCTCCAGACATGCTGAGAAAGTGGTAAGAGCTTGATGATGAAGTAGGAATATTTTTGTGGGAATTTAAAGGAATGTAAACCCAACTTTAAACTGAATAATTCATTACAATCTTAGCTGCAAATACTTTTAGTGGATAATACAGATAACTGATGACCTTGGGAAATTTATGGGAAATCACACATCTTTTTTTAAAAAGCAGCAAGCTAATTATTTACATCCTTCTTTATAAACCTTACAAAATCCATATGAATTTTCATTTCTACGTAGGAGAACTTTTATAATCTTTGCAATCTCCTATGCCTGATGAAGGGTACCTGTGCCCGAAAGCTTGCAAATAAAAGACATTTTTTTGTAGAGCAACTATCTAGTTGCTGTACTAAAAGATATCACTTCTGTCACGAGTTTTGATTCTGTTTACAAAATCCTACTGTTGCCTGTCCGTGCTGTACATATTGTAGCAATAACCAGCAACTGAGAGAACCAAAATATTCCATTTGACAGCATTGATATCATCTCCTTGTGTTCTAATTATACATTATCAGGAATACAGCATGTATGTGTGCTTGGAAATTGCCATATAGCCATAATGTCTGCATGTTGGGCAAACTGACCTGTTTGTTTTGATACATTGCAGACATCCACCAAAGCTTTACATCTCAAAAAGCCTAGCAGATCCCAGATCTTTTTGAGAAGGTAAGTGCTTTGTCTTGATAGCCCAAATTGCAAAGAAGGAATCTGAAACTGAAAGCTGCATGATTTGGGAGAAGATTGAATTCAACCTCGTTCAACTTTGAAGTTGAAAGTGAATTCAGCTCTCATGCCAATAGAAGCAAGGTAGCTCTAAGCTCCGGTTCCAGACTGAAGAGGTAGGAGCCTTCTAGACTTCCTTACACTGTACGATAAGACTTATACAACCTGCCATTACCAAAGACCCTCAGTCTTGTGACCTGCAGTCTTGGTCTGTGCTCTCCTCAGCACAGACTATGACTTGTGCTAAACTGCCTAATACTTCTGCTACATGAAGAAACCTTTAACAAGCACTGTTGACACCACAAATCTGATGTATCTGAACCCTAGCTACCCTTGATTAAATTCTGATCGACTGACTGACTCACCCGGGAAGTCCACTGGCTTATTCCAAAATTGGATTTGGCCCGGTATGTCACCAAATAAAAGCAGAGCATAATGCTGTAAGTCAGATCGCTCTCAGTCATAGTGTCAATGTAACGGAATTGGATTACGTTTCCCTTACTGACCTAAAGCAGCTTACTAAAATATCTTATTTTCATTTGAATGCATTTCTGTAGATATGAATGCTATAAATATGTTTATTTTAATCTATAATTTGAGTTTCTGCCACATAATTCATGAGCATTGATGGAAGTTACAAACACTTATCAAATCACATTACACCCTTCACGCTGGAAGAGTGATACATTATTTTTTCACAAAAAATGCACAAGATCCTATATTAGTTCCTTTCCTTTATAACTACAATTATAGTTTAATAAAAGATTTCAGTAAGAGCCCTCTTATTTTAAAGGCAGTAATTATAATGAAGTTCAATTTTTTAATGATACACACTACAGCAAATCCCCCCATGTCTAAAATGCTAAAAGATATTGAGCTTTCCTATTCAAATTGGACACTGTAAAATTAAACATAACATCCATGTAAACCATATGCCGTCTTTGGATGGGAGAGATTTGATTTGCTTTAAGACATCTTGGTTCTTCAAGTAGAGGATGAATAGAATTGCAAAAGAATTTAAGAATATATGTTGGAAATGAATAAAGGAAATGTGCTTGGTTGTTGTACTATATGTTAATCTTCTAAAAATGTCCAGTAGCATTAGAGAGGGCTACAGTGGCAATAACTACTTTGATTTAGAAAGTACTAATAATCAGTGAGAATTATGAGCTGTTATTAACCTTCTTCTCCTAGTGGCCTTTATTATTATTATTATTGATTTCAGGTGACACCCAACTATCCCCATATATCGGTTCCTGCCAGAGCTGTACAACAGACATGGACAAAATCCTTTTGAAAGGTTTTCCTTTTTTCTCTCTTTCTTTGACAAGTTCCTGTGGCAGCCCACTTTCAATGAGTGTTTCAGATACTTTTGCAGCAAGATTACATAACAAATAAAATAACAAATATGCAAAAGTTACAAATATTTACACACACCTACATATAAATGCACACAGACAATATCCCCTTACCCACCTGGTTTGTGCATCTTCAGACACTTGCTTTATTGGAAGTTCTTGAACGAAACATGAAAATGTGCAGACCAACTAAAATGTCTGGTTTCCCAAACCTAAAACTGTGGTATGCAAATGGGTTCCTCTGTATGTTTTTGTTAAAATTCCTTCCGTCTCCCCCTCCCCTCCACCCCTCAGTCTGAATGCTGCTGTCAACTGTGGGATGCATGGACAACTTGCAAAGAGCCTGATATAAGGGATGCACATAACTGGCATGAAATAGCACAGACTGCAGCAACCACTAATACGAATGTGCAGCCCAAGTAGATGACAAGTGTCAGGATACACTGACTTCCCAAGATCCCAGCTACTGAATAAAGCTGTTGCAACTGAGAATCCTGTATTCTGGGGCCTGTAGTCTCCATGGGCTGTATACCCCTCTTAAAGATTAGGGTTGCTCTTTAAATCATACATGACCTTCAGGCTGCATTCTAGCCACTTCAGATTTTTCAGTGTTGCTGACATGAGAAAAGATATTAAACTGCCATTTTTTTTTTCATGAGCAGAATTTGGTGAATGTTCCCTCCGTGGAATTAATACTCACCTGGTGGTTTCATGTAATATTGCTCAATATCAGACATGTCCGTATGCAGCGCACAATCGAGATAGTTGAGGATAACTTTTCTACTGAAGTAGTACCTCATACCCATTAGAAAGATGGGCAAACAGCAGGTCAGCAGCAAGGACTTGGTCACAACAAAGCATATTACTATGGAGATAAGGAAGAGAAATAAACGATACCTGTCAGAAAAGAGAATTTAGTGTTGATTTCGGAACACAAACCCATTAAAAAAATCATCACAGAGAAAAGCATATTTGTATTATATCAACAAAAGCTCAATTTGCATTTTCAAGATAAACATAGTTCACATCATTTAGTAACACGTCATTAAAACTAGACCATTCATAAAAAATAAGCTGCATTATGATTCCCACCCCCCCATCTTAAATTACCTAGACATTTCAACTTGAAGGTTAGTTCGTTTGATGAAGAGCTCCTCAGATTTAACCTGCTCCAATTCTACAGTCCTGCAAGTGTCATCACGTCACAAGAACACCAAAGAAAGATGATCTCTGGATTAAGGTTTGCAACCGCAGCTCAAAGCAAGATCTGACTGCATCGCCAGTCCCTGCAGATAAATCCGGGCACCAAAACCGTGGTATCCAACTATGGCTTTCCATCAAGACAGTATCAGAAGGGATACAGCTTTGTGGCTAAGCAAGATGCCCAGCGCAAGCAAAGCAACAGAAAGGTGTTTGTTAATAAATCATCATCATTTTGGGCACTGGGAGATTTGGTTGCAGATGATCCGTAAGGGGCAGCAACTGCTCAGCTCTACCCTGCTCTGCTTCAGGACCAAGAAGCTGCATAATGCAGGGCACTTGGGTGCTAGAAAACCAGGCAGTGCCGAGATGGCTGCTTTAGCCACCCCTCAGCAAGGATGCTCCAGTGCCAGATCAATGGTCTTTGCGGCAGGCGGCAACAGTGCAGCTCCCAGGGGCCAACAGCATCTGAGCAGCGTGTCTCCAAGTTACCTGCCACCCTCTGTCCTGCCCGCACAAAGACCCTTAGCTCTCCTCAGCCCACGAGGCGGAGGAAGGAGCCATCCCGCCGCAGGGGCAAGGGACAGGTTTTCCTGGGCAGGGCCGG